TCTCCCTCCTCCTCCTCCCTCCTCCCTCCTCCCTCCTCCTCCTCCCTCCTCCCTCCTCCCTCCTCCCTCCTCCCTCCTCCGGAGAAGCCGAGGATCGATTTGGAGGCACCACTTCTGGCTCGGATGTCTGGACGCCAGCAGCGTGTGGAAAATCAACAAGCGCCCAAGCATATATAGGGAGGAGGGGTAGTTATGGGAAAAGGCAAGACGATGAAGGCGCTTAACGTGTGAGGTCTGGGTGCGACTTGTCGGACCCTGACGGGGGCTCCCGCGCAGCCGACGACGCATACCCAGGTCGCATCCCGGAATCCCACTCCGAGAAATATTGCGTGTGGCGTAGGTCTGGGTGCTAGTTGCCAGCTCATGAGCAGTGGGTGCGGAAAAGTAGGCACGATGCCCAACAACATATGCTGTCTCCGATCGTGGACGACGAAACGACAGCGGCGACGCCGACAGCGAATCTCGTTCACAATGAACAGAAATTGCAATTTTTTCTGTACCAATGTCGGCCCCTCTGAGATCCAGGCGCCGCATTTATTTCACACCGGGCGTGCCCGCCGGTACTAGGGCCCCTAAACCGTCGCAGATCGATCCAGCTCAAAAAGTGCCACGGATAAATGGGGTCCAAGGCTCTGGTCGCGATATTTCGCGATGCTGCAAGTGTGTCGCAACGTCGGATCTCAAGGTAGGCGCTACTGGGCCCGATTGAAGGGCCGTGGGGCACGACTAGCGCAAACTAGGTCAGGATTGATCTCTATTCAACTGGTTTGCCTGGACCGACGCGGGGGCTGCAAAAGGGGCAGGGATGTGGTCAATGGATGCTTGTGTGGGCCATATCTGGTCAAGCCTGGTTTACATGTGGCATACAAATTCCCCGAGCGGCTCAAGGGCTTAACGATCCGAGCTAGCTGGCGGAGCCAATTTGACAGAGGTATTTTATCACCCTGCACAACGTTGATCACGTGTAGCCCGATTCTACGCCACGTTTGGTTAGACACCACCCACCTGAGCATCCACTTGTGGTGAACCCCCCCATCCCCTCAACAACCCTTGCGGTGACGAGCGGGGGGAAACGGGACTCTGGCGGAGCAGTGAGTGAACCGGTCCTCGACCACGAGTGTACCAGCCCCGATGTTTGATTGACCCACAGATTAAGTCGGGCCTGTGCCCCTACAGGGGGATTTTCGACGAAAAATAAAACGTACCCGAAAAATAATAATAATAAAAAAAAAAAATCCAAACATAGTCTGGGGACTATAAAAAAACAATTGGCATATTTTATGTTTGACTTTTCGTCGAAAATCCCCCTGTAGGGGGACACGCCCGACATAACCAAAGACAGCTGCTGGCCCCCAGCATGCGAAGGTTGGGCCATGGCGACACCTCCAGGGGCCTCGATCGGGAGGCCTCCAGAGGCCCGGTGCCCGCGGCCGCGCGCCGTCCTGGCCTCGCCAGAGCCGCACGCGCGGATCCCCCCGCAGCGCCAGAACCCCTCAGATCCGGGCGCTGCTGTTTTTCCGCACCGGGCGTTCTCGCCCGGTTTCGGGACCCGCGCGGCCATCCCAGATCGATCCGGCTCGGAGAATGGCGCACGCAGGTGGGGTCCACGGCGCTGGCCGTGCTCTTGCACTGTGGTTCATGTTCTGTTGCGCAGTGGTGGGCCTGCAGGAGAAGCCCAAGTGGCGGGCACCGCTGAACAGTGGAGGGCCATGAGAAGAGACACCCTACGTTTCGACAGGGTTCCCGGATCGTTTTTGGCTGCCGTTCGGAGCGGAAGGTCGCCTCAATTTCGAAGAAACTGCAAATGCCAGGGCACCCTGGTTTTTTGGGGGCGTCGGTCAGTTTCGGTGCGCGCGCCCGAACCTCCAAGAAACTTCCGGGCATTCGAAGGACATTGGTCTTCTTCGCCTGCCACTCGGGTCTCGCGTTGCCCATCCACCCCCGGGGATTCGCCAGTCTGTGAAGTGGGCGCTGGATTTCGGGGCGCAGGCCCGAAAGTGGGTGCATCTCGGTGCGCATTTCTTGATGTCAAATTGCTTGACGCCATCAATCAAGAAACCGCTCGGGCCAGGGTGCCCTGGGTTTCTTCGTTTGCAGCCGAAGTGCAAGAAACCCAAGCCTGGACCAAGAAACCTCGGCGGATTTCACGATTGAGTTTCTTGCGGTGGGTTTCTTGGGCATCGACCCCCACTGTACGCGTGATGTCGGCGCGCAGTCGGCTTCCTCGTGAGGCGGTGCAGTAGGGTGATCTTCCCAGGTGCGCGCAGTACCGACCAGGGCCGGAAAAAAAAAGGCGGCGCTGGGCAAGGCGAGGAGGATCGTGAGGGGCCGACCACAAACAAGCCGGCGGGAGCGAGAGGAAGGCACACATGCATTCGCCCGTTGCAAAGCGACACAAAAAAAACACTCCGCACACGCGCTCTAATGGGCCGGGTTCGGGAACACAGCAACTGTCCGGCTGCAAGAGGGAGGAGGGGCCGGGGAGCGGCCGCGGAGGGCG